TGCAGCAGCAGGCGGTGGGCGTTTGGGCCGGGGGCCTGTTTTGGCGGGGTGCGGGCGCGCACGCAGATGGAAATGAGAAAGGTTTGTAACGGTGTGGCTAACGCCGCTTTCTCTGTTACAGCCCGGGTGGTCGGCCGCTTCGACGTCCGGCCTGCGCCCGTGCCTGCCTACGGGCGATGCGCTCGGCTCCCGGTCGGACCCGTCCCTGGGAAAGCAGCAGCCGCGTGCCTCGGCCTGGGCAGAGACCTGGGCCTCCAGGGCCCCAGCCAGGGCTGCCGGAGAGGCGCGCCGCGCTTCTAACAGAGGGGCGTCGGCGGCTCCGTCGCCGGCGGGATGCGTTCGAGCGGTGAGGACGGTCCCAGCGGCCTTAGGTGGTGGTGGGGGGCCCGCTCCTTCAGCGACGGGAGCGGGGGGAAACGGCCCCGGGGTGGGCCGGTCAGCCGGCACGGCGGCCACGCGAGCTCATCGTCTCCGAGGACGCTCGGCTAAGTCGGCCTTGGCCGCAGGGACCGCGTGTCAGGCAGCCGACTGACTTTCTGCAGAGGCCTGCGAGACCGCCGTCCCTCGGAGGCCGGCCGTGTCCTTGGAGAGGCTATCTCGGGATGGGGGCCCGTCCGGAGAAAACGCGGCGGGGTAGGGGGAAGGTGTGGGCAAAGGGAGCGTCCGGCTGATGGCTGACGGGCTGTGCTTTTCTGCCCTCCGGCCAGGTCTCGAGGAGACGGGGAAGGGGCTCTCCTCGGGCGAAAGCAGCTTTGCGCGACCCCGGTGCCAGGGAGGCCGGACCCCCGCGGAGGTAGCCCAGTGATGAGCCGCCGCCGCCGCCGCCGCCGCCGCCGCCGCCTCCGAGCCGGGAGGGACCCGATCAGGTACCGGTCACGACCGACAGGCGGGGAACGTGCGAGGGCCGCGCGACCCCTCGGCCGCCCGTCACGGCAGAGCCGGACTAACCGGGACGAACCGGCTTTTGCTCGAATGTCGGTGGATCGAGAAGAGGCCCTGCCCGGGAGCGACAGGGTGCAGGGCCACCACCCGCCGGGCTCTACAGCCGCCCGCCCTCCTTGGGCGGGCGGGCCGGCCGGGCTCGCCACGGCAGGCGGGACGGGACGGGACGGGACGGGGGCCGCCGCCACCTCTGCCCGGTCCGCGGCCCCTGACGGCGAGACAAAGAATTAAAAAAAGGCAAGGG